AAAAAAAAAAAAAGAGAAAAACTGATGAAACCAAAAACTGCTTCTTTGAAAACTGCTAAACCTGTAGCAAAACTAAGAAAAAGCCAATGATAAAAGCACAAATCAGGACATAGAAGACACATATCAAGAATGAAAGCAGGGATATCATCAAAGACCCCTCAGATCTTAAAAAAAATAAAGCAATACTATGAATAACTATGCACACAAATTTGACAACCTAAATGACAGACAAGTTATCAAAGTTATCAAAACTTACAAGATGAAATAAATAACCTAACTAGACTTACAACTATTAAAGAAAATAAATTCACAGTCTAAAAGACCATAGAACAAATATTTTTGAAAACTGAAAAACTTATTCTAAAGAGAATCAATGTATAGTATAGCCCAAAAGAACTAGGAGTTATTAATGTTTAAGTTACAGTTATACCTAAAACCAAAATGCTTTGTTTTTATTTTAAAAAGAAAGTCTAAATTTAGAATGTTAAGGGGAGAAAGCTACCATTTCCAGCCAAGTATAAGAGCTTATAGACAATCACAAATATAATCTCCCACTGAGTCAATTAATAGATTCCATTTCTCCTCCCCATAACTTTGACACTAACCAATGTAATACTGTCCATTAAACCTTGACCAAAATGAAAAGTATCTGGACCAAAATTAGGAAAGTTTTTGAGAAAAACTTCTTTACACATCAAAAGGGACCAAAAAAAAAAAAAAAAAAAAAAAAACCTCATAAAATGGACAAAAAGCATTGTCTTTTTAAAGAACGCTGAAGAAATAGCTATCATGTGTGCTATATTCATGCCTCACAGCACATGTAAGAAGCAGCTAACATTTACTGACCACTTACTTTGTGTGGAATATTGTGTTAAGCATATTGCATGAACATAATAAATACACAGATGCAGAAATAATACACAAAAATTACAATATATCACTGCACAAAAACTAAGTAATTCAATAGCAGTTAACTGATACTGAGTTGCTTTACAGAGTAAAGTATCTTAGCTATTTCTATGGGTTCTAGTTAGGATTTTGAACATATTAGTATTACATTATTTGTATTTATGTTACTAAGAATTCAGAATGGTGAATGAACCTTCTTCAGAACATTGGAAGAGCATAGGAGGACCATTATCAGCAAACGTTTCCCACTTTTTTTTTTCCCAAAGAGATTAAGGAAGTTTCTTTTTTGACACAGAATGAAGGTAAATTTTGTTCTAATATTTTAACTTTCCCACATGGAAACTTGTTGGAAAATCCTGTATCAAATTCCTTCTTACCCAGGTGGTTCTTCCATGAGTCTGCAAAACCTGGGATCTTCCTATGAGATCCAGGGCAGCTGAAATGGACATGCTACTTTGAATGACTAACAAAAAGGGTGAGCTGCATTGAACAACCTCTGTTGACAAGCATCATCAGTGATGTCAACAAAGCTGCCTTGTGTTTCAGATAAGCTACAAACACCAGCACAAGAGGAATCCTAGCAAAGGAAACAGAGGAAGAGGAAAAACTGATTTTTTTGTTTTTAAAAAGAAACACGCACATAAATAGGCATACACAAAAGTATGTGCATGAATAATCACACTGCATCACATAAATTCTAGATTGTGCACTGAGGATCATTTCAATGTTTTAATTCATCTGTGGGGTTATACAGTATGATGATTGAAGTTTTATTTAAGAGGATTTAACAATATAAACTTATGAGGCCTGATTTTCAGTAAGTGCTTCAGAGATGAAATGATCCTAGTAGCTGGTGGATACAAAGACATTCTAAACAAAGAAAAGTCAAATAACATTCCAATTTATTAGAATGGTGTTACACACAGAAAGATCTTTTATCTATAATATTCTAAGCAATATTATTGTGATGGTTAATGTTATGTGTCAACTTGGCTAGGCCATGATTCACAGGGGTTTGGTTTGGGCATACATTACTTAGTTATCTTCCATTTTGTGATCTGATGTAAGCAGCCAATCAGTTGGAAGGGGAGTTTCCTTGGGAGTGTGATCTGCATCCATGTTCTGGCAAAGCTTGCTCTGTCTCCTAATCCTGCATTGGTCTCATCATCCTCAGACCTCCAGTTCTTGGGACATGAGAACTCTTCAGCCTGCTGCCTGCAGATTTTGGATTCACCAGATCCCACAAACTCATGAGCCAGTAACATGCTACCTAACCTGCAGATTTTTGAGTTCATCAGTCCCTGCAACCATGTGCTTGAATCAGAAGTCCCCAGCCTGTGAACTGACCCATGGATTTGGGACTTGCCAGCCTCCACAATTATGTGAGCCATTTCCTTGACTAAATCTCTGTATATATTTATATATATGCTTCACTGGTTTGCTCTCTAGAGAACCCAGACTATGACAATTATTTAAATTTTTATTTTCTTCTGTTTAAATATTTTTTGTTAAACTTAAGTTTTTAATTACACATTATCTAAATCAAGATATGGGAGCTCTGGTAGCATGGTGCCTAAGCCACTTGACTACTAACCAGAAGGCTGGCAGTTCAAACCTACCAGTCACTCCTCAGAAGGAAGGCTGGGCAATCCACTTCCGTAGTGATACTTCCTCGGAAACCCAAGAAGGGGTAGCTATGAGTCGGTCTGACTCGATGGCACATAACAACAACAACAACAAATCAAGATATGCCTTCCAGGAGGTTTCTTTTGTCACTTAAAACTTGTTTTCTTCTAATGTCTTTTCTGTTGTTGTTAGATGTCTTTAAGAATGAAACACTGCCTGGTCCTATGCCATGCTCACAATCGCAGCTATGTTTCAGCATTGTTGCAGCCACTGTATTACTTCATCTTGTTGAAGATCTTCCCCTGTGTCATTGATCCTCTGCTTTACCAAGCACGATTTCCTTTGTCAGGGACTGGTCCCTCCTAATAACATGTCAAAAGAACATGAGACAAAGTCTCACCATTCCTCGCTCCCAAGGAGCATTCTGGTTGTACTTCTTCCAAGACAGACTTGTTTGTTCTTCTGACAATCCACGGTATATCCAATATTCTTCACCAACATCATAATTCAAATGCAACAATTCTTTGGTCTTCCTTATACACTGCCCAGCTTTACATGCATATGAAACCAAACCAACTTCACTGCCATCAAGTGAATTCTGGACTCATAGCGACCCACCACTGGGTTTCCAAGGCAATAAATTTATGGAAGTAGATTGACCATGAATATAAGGCACTTGAAAATACCATAGCTTGGGCCAGGTACACGTCAGACCTCAAAGTGACATCTTTGCCTTTTAACACTTCAAAGAGGTCTTTTTGTAGATTTGCCCAAATTGATACATCATTTGATTTCCTGACAGCTGCTTCCAAAGGTACTGACTGTGAACCCAACAAAATGAAATCCTTGACAATTTCAATCTTTTCTCCATTTATCATGATGTTGCTTATTAATCCAGTTGTGAAGATTTTTGTTTTCTTTTTGTTGAGATGTAATCCATGCTGAAGACGATATAGTCTTTGATCTTCATCAGTGTTTTAAGTCATCTTCACTTTCAGGAAGGGTGGTGTAGTAAATTACTTAGTGTGGCTTTTCTACCCATAAGTCTTTGTAAACTCCAAGGTGGGATTTTCTGTGAGCAACTGAGGAGCTCCTGATTGCTGAAGTTGTCCACCTGGAGTATTTCTGTTGGGAGTGGCATAAAACAATGTTCTGGGAGGTCCCACTCTCTCTCACGTGCTTAGAG